CAAGGAGAGAAGCAATCTAGAACTAAGGAGAAACTTCCTGACAGTGAGAACAATTAACCAGTGGAACAACCTGCCTCCAGAAGCGGTGAATGCTCCAACACTGGAAGTTTTTAAGAAGAGACTGGACAGCCATTTGTCCGAAATGGTATAGGGTTTCCTGCCTGAGCAGGGGGTTGGACTAGATGACCTTCAAGGTCCCCTCCAACTTTACTATTATTATTATTATTATTATTATTATTATTATTATTATTATTATTATTAAATTCAAATTCCCTGATTGTCTATTTTTCCTGCTCCCTCTCCCTTTTGACACAATTAGTTTAAAGAAAAATGCAAATTGGAAGTTTAAAGCAATCGCTAGCATGATTTAAACTATCCAAATAATGAAACTGTTGTTTGGTTATGTGCCATCGAGTCATTGTTAACTCTTAGCAGCTACATACACTTTCTCCATGATGATCTGTCCCAATCTCATCCTTCAGTTTTCTGACAGTGCATTCATGGTCCTTAACTAGTCCTTTTTTTCTCTTTCTTTCCACTTTTACCAGGATTAGAGCCTTCTCTACAGAACTCAATCTTCGTATAATGGGCCAGAAGTAGGGCAATTTGAGCCTGGCCATTTGTGCCTCAAGTGAAAACTCTGGATAGGTTTGTCTGATGAGGATCCATTTGTTTGTTTTCCAGAGTTCAAAAGTACGAAGCAAACCCAGCAGGACATTTTTTGAGGGAGGAGGAATGCCAGTACTCAACTCTTTTAATTAAAGAATCAAAGCAAAGTTTATCCGATAGCCATCCTTTACTGAGGTGAATATTTTTAATGGAGTGTTATATAGTCAGTTTCCTAATCTGCATATTAGTTTAAGGAAATGAGTTTTGCAAAATTCTATTTGATCCCTAATTTTTATGTCTCATAGCATACCCTTATTTTAATAGACTAATAAAATGGACCTGTCCAGACCTGCTCTAGATACAATACTATGGTATTATGTCTTTGATAGTACTGAATAATAGGCTGTTTTATTCTTAACAGTTATAGGACTAAAGGTTAGAAACGTCTTTGGCTGTAACATTTTGAAATCATAATGTATAAATTGTGACAAAAAAGATAAATGCTACAGTCCAATGCAAAGTTAAGCATGCTTTGCATCACTGATCTTATTTCCGCAAGAATACTGAATTCTGTGCTATTTTGTTCAGGTACAAAACTGAATACCATTAATATTATCTTCGAAATTAGTTGACATTCCTGTAATTGCAAGGTATTTTTATTTTTTTAAAAAATGCAGACAATATAAAAAATATTTATAGAACCAAATGGTTTATTCGGAACAATTATTTATTTTTTATTTAGCTTTATCAACTTTGCTAAGCAATAATATATTCCTAACTTATTCAATCTTTGATTTATTTATTTATTTAAATCTGACTTGCTTAAGAAGGTTTCTTCTTAGCAGATGTAAAAATATTTCTTGATTGCCAATAGTTGTTTTTTTTATCAAAAGAAGAAAATTAATATTTTCCTCCAAAGGTGGACTTGAACTGCAATAGGAAATGGGAAAAATGTACACATTTTGGTTCCAAAAGTAGCAGATGTCCCTTTTATCCCAAATTCTGCCACTAATTGCTACTGAAGTCTTTGTTTTGGTTAGCTACCTATGAATATTCAGCACCAAGGTTCTGAGCAATGCAATATATCATGTCTTCAATCTGGCTACATCCAATTTATTAAGTGTATTTTTCATATGCACTGATGCAATATTCATAGAATAAAATTACTCTTCTTTTACATTCTGAACTATTAATTAATGGCCATGCTGATGTTCACCAGCAGACCTGCCTCATCCATTTTTTTTAGCTGTCCCTTCCTTCTGAAATAAGTTAATTTGTTGGCTTCAGACATCATGTACTTCTATTGGTGAAATTTTCATTCAATTTAGTTGTAATTGAATGCTAACTGAAAGATATCTGGAAGGCAGGAGTTGAAGGAAAGCTGATGTTTTTGGCTATAGAACAAAACTGTATCCATCTTGTTGCAACCCAGGTAGCTACTTGGCCTAATCTCTGTGCACACAGTGGACTTTTGTCTTCCTTTCCCTTCCCCTCCCCCAACTTTAACACCACATGTAATAAACAAAAAATTGCTTCCAAGAGTACAGAATTTCAAAAGTAATCTGACATGCTGTGTTGGAAGTCCTGCTATTCAGGAAAAATAAGTTCAAATCTCTATTGAGTGTGGAGAGATAATGGTGTGTTTCTTTAGCACTCTAATCACTACCAAAAATAACATCATTATAATAGCTCTGACTAATTTTGATCCTTCAATATGATTTTAATGGCTTAGCATTCTTCTGCAATTCTCTTTTCTATTCCTTAAAATAGGAATGGAGAATTTTATTTTGCCACTAAAATAGGTTCAGCTTCTGTTGAACATGTCACTGGTTGAATACCTGAAGTGGGCAGGATTAGCTACATTCTGAAGTTAATTCAGCAGAAGCTCCAAATTCTAGAAAGCTGAGAGCACATTGAGGTGGTATTCTTCTGAGACTTCTTTCTTTTATCCACTAATGGTTTTGTGGGTTTAGTTTCAGGAAAGGAGTGGCTAACATTTAATGTACTTCAGGGCATTTTGGTATGCAACTGACAGTGTTATCACAAGAAAACAGTATCAGCACTGCCATCTTTAAGACTTCATTCTTTTTTTAATAGCAATTTAATTAAACATCACAGTTATAATAGGCTAATTACGATTACAAAAAAGCCTAAAAGAATAAGAAAAAGTACAGAGAAAAAAATAGAAAAATAGAAAAGAACTAACACTATAATAAAGAAAAAAGAAAGAAATACATAGTGCAATTACTGCCCCCTTAATCACAACAAGTATAAACAATTTTTGCCCCTTTAACCTTCTCTTAAAATACTACAAATGATCTTTTCTTCCAATATCCTTTTCCTCTCTATAAACAAATCTTTAAAGTCTCATCATTCAGTCCTGGCCAGCAAAAGTGCATTAAGAATTACCAGAGATAAGACCTATTTTAACCTTGATCAAATAAATCACCTTTATATTCCTTCCTTTTACTTTTAACAATCGTAGTCCTTAATCCCCTCAAATGAAATCCTAGACCTTGATTTCATTTTGTCTTTGTCCCTTCTCACAGAATTCTTCAAAACTTTAACAAACCTCTATAGTAATTTCAGCATGGGAAAGTTATCCAGGCCATTCTTTTGGTTTGCTATTTGTACATTCCTTTGAATTATTAAAACATCAGCCATGTTCATTTGTATGTCCTGTGTAGCATCTTTTTCCATATCATTCTTGTAGCATGTCATTTTTAAATTCACTTTCATATCAGTCTCACTCTTAAAATTAATTTCTGGATCCACTGGTCACAAATATCTTCCAATATGAAAGTATTTTGTTCCATTCTGCAAATGTGTTCTCCTTTAATGGTAATATTTAGTTCCTTCTGGTTCCTTCTAATGTTCAACCTTCAAAGTTCAATCCTGCATTTTTTTTAAAAAAATAAATAAAAAACAACAGCATTTTCCCATAGGAATGGTTGTTATAATTAATATCAAAGTCTTATTTCAATTTCATCTGGACCCTTAGTTTATTTTTAACTTTTTAAAATCAATGTTTTAATCACTCTATTTCTGTTTATTAAAAATGAATTTTAAGTCCATAAATCTGTATTAAAAACCTGTGTGCCTAAGGATTGAAGGAAACTCACCAAATATCTGTCTCTTCAAAGATTCCTCATATCTGAAAAAAATTAACAAGAAGTGGAAACACAGTCCCCATTAAGATTCTAACCATGTTTTGGGTGGAAATGGTGTTCTATTGAGCCCCAGAGCTCTAAACCTTCTGGAGACAGTGGTCATCTGGATTCCGCTTTAGAATCCCTTGTCTGGAGCACTTGTGGGTAATCCCCAGTTTCAAAGAGGTGCTTTGTTCACCAGTTCTTAATTTTGTCATAGTTGTCAGCTCTGCTTTTAGCAAAGTCATCTTCAGTTTTCCATTTCTTCCCCAGAAGTGCCCCTACTTCTGAGTGTGCTTATAGCTGGAGGCTATAAACTGAAATTAGTATAAAGTTTGAAAGCCTTTCCACACTTGGATAATAACAGTCTTGAATCGTATGCAGCTGTTCATAGTATTTGGGCACCCCTGTCAGCTGTGTTTCTCAGATAGCTCTGCTCAAAGAGGCAGTGAAAATGTGAGTATTTCAGCTATTTATGGCGTTATCAGAAGGTTATGGAAGCTAGAGATTTCTTGAAGTCTTTATTCTTCCCAGTTATGACAAGAATTCTTTTCTCCCTTTTACTACAATAGAGCCAGGTTTGCATCAAAATTGAAATGGACAAATGCATTAACTTTTATCAATTTTTATCCTTTTGTAATTCCGTAAAGCTCTATTTTTCTTAGTTTTTCATTTGTGTGACCTATCAAGTTTGATACGTCTACTTGGAAGTGGTTTTTAAAGTTCAAACACTGAAAATGATGCCCATTTCTCTGGCATAAACCTTTACATAATGTTATCTGATAAGCTCAGTTCTTGCAAAAGTTTCTATAGCAGAATACATTTACTTTTATGAATACATGGATGTTTATGCAAAATGCTTTACATTTTTCTAATGTAATTGGCAAAAAATAGCAAATAGTTAAGTTCCCTTTTCATATCAGTTTGAAAATGCAAATTTAAATATATTTGCATTCTAATGCAAACCTAACCTATTTTTTCCCCATTTCTGATTGTAACCATACAAGTTTCAGATGATGCTCTGTACCAAGTGTGGTACATTTAGGAATTCAGTCGTTAACAGAATTTTCATCACCTGGATGATGAGAAATACCAGACATTAGGCCTTTTCTGAAGATTTGACTTAGTTTTTCTGATTGGGATTTTTGAACCATCTTCTTTCTATCTCTGATCAGTAATGCAAAAATCAAGTTCATTATTGTACACAACTTTAATTTGGATGATGTGACATAGCACAATGCTGAAATGCGAACATCAAAATGATGCTGTATTATTTTACAGCTACAACAGTAGAAGTGGAGGATAATGAGCACAGGCAGGAGTAGGTCCACAATGTAGGACATAGCAATGAATGGCTGGCATTTAAATAAAAAAAAAACAAAGGAGGCAGCATAAAGAAACTGAAAAGTAGGAGAGTAATGTACAAAAGCAACTCAATTCTTAAGGTGTAACTTAAGATAGAGAAGGAAGAAAGAACTCTAAAAAGTGTTGTGATGCAAAAGCTTTTCCATTGAAATTGAAAGGAGGAATGTAAACTGACATCTCCATGAGTTAACATAGGGATTGTCCTGTTTCTGAGTGTATTTAAATACAAGAAAAGAAATTACCTCTTGATTTATAGTTAGCATAAAGTGTGAAACAGGACTTATTCTGCAATAAGTATATATTATATGATCAAGGATATACATTAAAATATGTAGCACAATATATTGGGAAGCTTTTAAACACAACTTAGTTAACCCAGAATATTATCATTTTTATTTATTATCAAAATAGACAATAAGCCATATGTAAAAAGGGAGTACAAGAAAAAGATTAAATGAAAAGCATAAAATAAGGAATATAATATCATGCTCTGCATCACCCCTACAATTTACCCCAATCAGACCCACATATGTAGATCACAACTGAACTATTTTAGTCAAACGATGGTGTTATATGTGTTCTGATCTCACATGAAATAAGTTGTTTTAGTATAAGGGTCCCAACAGTTTGTTTATCTAATGTTTGATCCAAGATACCGGTCTCTTTCTTTTTTATACTTATTTCTTATAACATAACATAACATAACATAACATAACATAACATAACATAACATAACAAACATAACATAACATAACATAACATAACATAACATAACATAACATAACATAACATAACATAACATAACATAATTAAAAGGAACTGATGCAAATAAAATAGTTTATTTTGGTCTGGTGTAGGAGATGGTGCTTTCATTTCTTTCTTTTTTAAAACTAATTAATTTGGAGTCCACATTTCTTTACAAATAAGTTCTTCATACTTCTTGAGAGCTATTAGTACTTGCAAACATGCATTAGAAACTTACAAAACCAGAACTTATGTCCACAAAGCGTATTACTCATCACATCATCTAGGATTGTTGGATTGGAAAAAGCACACAGACAGAATATAGCCCATAAGCACCTGGTTGATTTGAAAAGGGAAGATAAGAAATGTCACAAACCCATTCTGATTATTAAACTATCTATCTGTGGCTTTCTTTAGATAAACATAGTAACTCAATTTGACCATGGTTAATTTGAATGTTTGAGAAAACACCACTTAAGCCGGGCAGCTGCTTAATGGTGCTAATAAATCCTGTAAAATGAGAACGCCATCAGCTGCAGATGGTTCAACAGAGTTTGAGGCTTTGATTGTTTTCTTCTTGTGAAGATGATGTTTGCATGATTGGGGGAATTTTAGTAAGAGGAAAGAATAAACTGATTTTGTCTGATCCCAGGGATATAATCCTGTGCTGCTGTTGAATATTTTTAGCAACCACAAACAAGTTTGATTTGGAATTTGTTTCTGTCTCGGGACAGACACATTGTTCTGCCCCAACTACTTTTCCACATAGGATGTTTTTCTGTTCCCTCCAGAGAAGTCCTGCAAATGAATGTAAAAAGATCTTGACTGACATATTCAATTAAGTGAATCAACTTGTGTGCCTAGTCTAATTAAAAAAAATGTTCATTTGATATCAGATTTCCTTTAATTAATTAACAGATTTTTATTACTGGGAAATACTGTTTTTGTTCACTTACTGTGATGCAGAGAGGGGCAAAAGAACAAATCAGAAGATATATCTTTGACAGAATAGGATTTAGGAAATGGTTTCAGTTAATAGTATCAAGGGATAAACTTGAACCTAAACAGTGAAAGAGAATAAATTAAGGACTTGCAGCCTAGTCCCAAAGAAAACTGAGCATCCTTGTATATTGTTCAGATCATTGAACTTTGCAAAATAGCTTAAAGCTTACTGTACTTTGTTTAAGAAGCTCTAGAAATATAAAATTATAAAGGCTTAGCTCAGGGGTAGGCAACCTTGGCTCTTTTATGACTCGTGGACTTCAACTCCCAGAATTCCTGAGCTACTGGGCCGCATGAGTGGCTGTCTGTCTGTATGTGCATGCACATATCCCTACTCGTGCGAGTGTCACTGTGAGTTTGTGGGTGTTCGCAGCCCCACTCATGCAAGCATCATGGGAGCTCGTGGTCCCACTCACATGAGCAACAGGTGTTCATGTGCGCACATCTGCATGCATTTACCCCTCCCACAAAACCATCCCTTCTTCCCCCCTCTCCCCCCACTCCGACTGCCAAACTGAGAAGGTTGGGGAACTCTGCTCTAGATTAATAAAACACAATAAAATATAAATGTTAAAAAGATCTATGTTCAAATACCAATATCTAGGCCATTTAACCATTGAAGAGCAACATCATTTATATTAAAAAAATCAGTTACTGGACTGGTATACATCCTGGTTACAATGTGTTATACAGTTTGATGTGGGACCCCACAGACACAATGGGGGGAGGATACTATGCCCCGTTTATACAAGGACTCTCGGCAGACACAGTGTGAGGTGCAATTCCTATTTTTATTTTTGTTTTTGATGAGATTTGTAACAATGGAGCATTTTTATGTATTTTACTTTTGATCAGTTTATTAACTTTTATGTTGCCTGATTTCAAAATGACATTTTTGCTGTTAAAATGCAAGAAGACATAGAAAAATTGTAAAATACCTAAGCCCAGTGAGTGCTGGAAAAGAGTGAA